GGAAGGGCAGGTCCAGGCCAAGAAGTTGAATTCACTGAGGTATCTGTGTATCCCTATTCAGAAGCATGGCTTTACTAACACTCCCTAGGGACAGGAGGTGATGTATAAGTGAGCCCAAAAAGCTAGTTTCTCTTTTTGAGAAGTATCAGAAATGTCTTCCAGACCTAAGTGCCCCAAACCAAGCCACCTAGGCCTGCAAATAGGTGGAAATCCAGGTGTTGATTTCCTGCTCAGATAGTCCAAGAGGCAAGTCAACACTGAGCCTAACCAGGGTTTCTGATCCTAGGAACACAGCATGGCAGACAGAAGCCGGAGGCATGTGTTAGTTCAGAAAAACATTATGTCCCAAACCTTAGCAGTGGTGGAATAAAAAGGAACACTGGTAGAGGAGGGTATAGAGGTCAATGGCAGAGCATGTTTAGGGGAGAGAGAGAATGCCCATGCCCATTCCATTAAGTCCCAAATCTATCCAGCCTTCCATCTGCCCAGTGTACTAATATCCCCCACGAAGGGCTCTCCAGCAAGGATGCTGAGTTCTGTGGGGCTTCAAGGTTGGGCAACAATACAATACAGGCAAGTGGTGGTACTGAAGCTGGCTGGCCACATACCTTTACAGACCTACACATCAGCATTTTTTACCGGTATCTGACTAATTCACAACTCTCTTGAAAAATCCATCTTTGGGAATGAGGCTGGGTTCTGGGAAAAACTATGCCCCTGTCCCAAGCTTTCCCGGGTCTCCAAAGCCCAGTCCTGCCTAGCTTTGAAATACAGGCTGCAGCCATTACTGCAGCTCAGCTCACACACCCAGGGAGCTCATCTTCCTCTTTTTTAAAGAGAAAATTTAACTCCTTCTCCACCACTCCTCTGGCACAGACATAAACTGCAGTCACCCCACCCCACCCCCAGCCCTGACTCCCCCAAAGCCCTCGATGCTGCTCTGTCCCCTATTCCCAGGTGGATGGCGCCCCTCCAGCTCATCCTCTCGGGCCCACAGTACCTACTCCCGCAACTTCTGAGCCAAGTGGAGTCTCCCAACTCCCTTTATGGTGCCATCCTTCCTGGACCCCCGCGATACCGCAGGCCCGGGACAGGTTCCGGGGAGGAGTCTGGACTAGAGTCAGGACCTCAGCTGACTCCTCTGCCTCTAGGGATACCTTCCCCCGCCCGTATGGACCAGGGCTTCCGCGTCCAGCAAAGGGGAGACAGAGCCCTCAGGGTGGGGCTGGACCCCCTGGTAACAAGCTCGGGCCGCGCGTCCCG